CCCTAAGTGCAGCCAAGGCGAAACGGCTCACGGTTCCAACCACCCCAAAGGGACCTGCTGCTCTCCTGCTCCCCATCGCCCACTTCATCCTCGGGAAAACGGCCACAACGGAACCACTGCTGAGGTCTCCTGCTCGGCCAAAGCTGTGAGGCTGCCGAGACAGGGGTTAAAATTGCTGCTTGTAGGACCTTCGTGAAACTCAGTTGCAGACTCAGCAATCGCACAGATAAGCAGAAGGCCTGAGCACAATCTTTGAAGATAAATGGTATCCCCCAGTTGAACAGAAACCCCTTTGTCTGTTCTACTAACCCTATCTAGGAATGTCCAGGGATGAAATATAGGTATCCTGTGTTTGTGTAGTCAAAGATGTTTCGAGAAATAGTGCTGATAATGCCCAATTAGCAGAATGAGTGACAAAATACATCTGCTTCTGGGAGAAAGGTGAAAAGTTTACAGCGATGACGGCAACAAGCCTTCCTCCCCATGACCACCTGAAGATCACCAGAGTTGTAGGGTGCATGCCCAGATAGGAGGAGTTGTATGCTAATGGCTTTTGGAGGAATCCCTGCTTTGTATTAATGAGTTCTCAGATATCTCATGAATACGTATGAATAGAGAGCATATAAATAATCACTTTGTAACGGGAAATTGGAGTCCTCCCAAGGAATGATCCTGGGGACTCCCAGCAGATAAAGAATATCTGCTTTCTAAAATTCAAAGAGGAGTCTTGGAGAGTGAACTTATTTTCCAGCTTTCTTGGAATCTCTGCTAGGAACAACCACAGAGCCTCTTATCTCTGACGCTTCAGTGTCCCCTTCCCACCTGCAACATCATTCCTGATGAGGCATCCACATCTTTTGAAGTAGAAAAAGAAAATTACTCGGTTCTATTGTCAAGTGTGCAAATGGCTAATTAGAAAAATATTTTAATGGTGTGGACACCAAATATATTCAATTGCTAGTTAGCCATCAACAGAAACTTCTCAATCACAATATGTAGTGTGTGGTGTCAACCTTCTCACGGTTCATGTGGGTTTTTGTTAAAGCTATTAGTATACAATCACTTTTAATATTAAGGAGATGCCTTTATTGTGAATATAATACTTCATTCTTCAACAGTGGGCAACAAACCATCTTCCATACTTATTCTGGACCTCCACGCTGTAAAAGAAAAGCAGACAGTTAAATATATTCAACTCAAAGAATTGGAAATTAAGATCAAATCCACTCTTACATTGTTATAGACTAACAGAGTTCTAGTTTTAATTTCTGATGTATACACTGATTTTTAATCTATATAAGAATATGCACAGTGTCAAATACCAGCATTTACCAGTAACAGCTGTATTTTTTCAGGGTAGAATAAAAAAAGATTGACAACCTGCAACCTACAATTAACAGCTGCTTCAATTTCTACTCTGAAGGAACCTGACCCTTACTCACTTCAGGAAGATCTGACAAACACAGCAGTACTGAACACAAATTCTAGAATTATTTTCACTACCCAAATTATAAAGTGCAAAGTAAAAACAAAGCCAAGGTGAGCCATTACAATCTCTATGAGAAACCAGAAAGGTATTCAGTTCATTATTTTGCCAACAAAATTATTTTACAGCTCACCATTAGAAAACTTATGCTAGAGGTCAATAAGTGTATTACTATGGGAAATAACTCATTTTACATCTAATTATAAGACCCTACCCACATACATGCAGGAAAACTGATGTCCTGTACTAACATGATTACACTGTAGGCATCCTGATCACTTAACAAAGTTATGCAAGCATCTTCTCATCTCAAACTCATACTCATCTAATAAGTTCTTAAAATTGTGTGCATTCTCCCTTTTTAAGCCTCAGTGTTTACAAATGAGAATTGTTACAGAACAAAAGCAGCTTCTTGGCTTTCGTGTACAATGCCGTATTTGTAAGTATTGCAGAAAATATTTCTATCAAGTTTAATATTTCCAATACTAGAAATGCAAGAGTTAACTTACTAATAAATAACTTATAAAAACTAGTTTCAGAAATATTTAGGACTTCAACCACCTGGTAACAAACTTCACTGGTCTAAGAGCAGACTCTGGTGCTCCTGTCCAGCACATTCAAATTACACATTAAACAGCTGTTATGAAACAGGTAGTGATAGTGATTAATGTAGGCTACAACTATCGCTAGCTATGTGCATGTTTGTTTTTAGTCCGTATCTCTCAATGATACCACAAACTACTCACTAGTGAGAGTCGGGTACCTTCTGTATTAAGAATTTGTAGTTTGGGTACTGTGCACCAAAACCATGACAGCTGGGAACGCAGCCTTACCAAGATTTACAACGCAGCACCGTATCTGAAACTTTGAAGAAGATCTAGAAATAAGCTAAATGCTAGTTAACTGGTTAACAAGAATAAATTAAACTTACTTGAATAAATTCAATCTCTTCATCTGACATAAGTTTCCTTCTGTATTTCTGAGGTAAGGTTCTTGCTAAGTCAGAAGTGTCTGGTGTACCTTGTACTCTGCTAAGAGGTGACATGGTTTGAAAGGCCGGTGATCTGCCTCCTACAGATTCCTGTGCTTCTGAAGCATGCAGAGATGGCACACTTCCTTGTACAGATTCCTGTACTGAAACACAGATTGCAAAAGCATTTACAGAGATATGCAGGACTGTAAAATTAACTAATGAGCAGCAAACAGATGTTACCAGTTATGGAGAATTTTTTTCATTATAACAAATACTTAAAAGAATTAACACATTATACTTCTCACAACCTGTTTTTATTGTTGTTAAGTATATCAAGAACATAGGGAAAAAAATGCTGACAGTAAAAGAAACCATGTTTGAGTGCCAGAAATACTGATGTAGAAACAAGATAAATCAGCATATATCCTAAGAAAGGCTTTTTCACTGGGAAGCTCTACTTCCAGAAAAAGCATGAAGTATCATAAATGTATGAGCAGAGGCAATTGTGTAGAAAGGTAGCTAAGATCAATAACTAAGGTCCACTGGGATTATGCTTTTTGTTTAAAATAACTGTAGAGACAGACAAGTGAAAAAGAGGTAGAAAGATAAAGTTCTTAACTATGACATACCACAACATGCAATGTAGTGTTCCACCCATTTTTAATATTACTAAATGGCATCATATAAAATCTTATTAACGATGTCCAGAATGACCAACAAATATTGGGCATCAGCAATCAGTATTAATGAAATGCAGAGATTACAGGTGAGGGCCAGGATCTAGGCTTAAGGAATTGACATCAGAGAAACTGTTTTGATTTTGAGGATAGAAGAGATAACAAAAGGGCAGTGTTGTCAAAGCCAGCATTCTGAACCTCAAGTCAGTCCCACCATGGCTGATTTAACAAGGGAAATATGATATTACCCCACCTGGCAGGAGAGAGTCTCATGCCAATACATGTACTTCATAAGCCCCTTAGACCTCTCTATATAAGGTTAAAACATCTGATAAAGCAGAATGCTTCCACAGGAAGCCTCTCTCAGTGCTCCTGAAAAATGAGCAAGACAAATGCAACATCTAAACATCTGGGACAGAGGGACTATATAACATAAGCAGCATCAAGACTGGATCAGTCAAAGAATGCGAGGAGTTAAAATCCCACAGCACAGAATTTGTCCTGGACAGGCTGAATCAATGGGCTGAGG